GTAAGCCTTGCGATCCAAGTTTCATATCAAAACTATAAACAGATTTTAGAAGAGGCTGCTAAGTATATTAGAGATTTGATTAAGCCAGGGACTTTTAGTCAGAAAACTTTAAAAAGATTTAAATCCTTTCTAGGATCGAAAGATGTAAGTTTGATAGCATATATATACAATATTAGTATTTTGCATATATAAATGCTAATGAATAAATTATCTAATTTACCATTAATCAATTTGCAGATGTTAGAATACTATGACTATTTGGTTCAACGATTAGATGCAGCAATTCAGGAACTACAACTAGACTGTGCTCTTGATACAAACCAAAAAGTTACCTGCATAAATAATACAGTGAACGAAGTAGATAGTAACGTTAAGAAACTTCTGAAGTTAGCAATGGTAACAAAAGGCGCTGATATCAGAGAAGAGAACATATATGTTGATCCGTCAAAAGTTGAAGATGATGATGAGATGGAAACCAGAGGGAAAACTAAAAGAATTAAAAAAATGATGTATAACGGGTGTGTCGCGGTAGCTGTATATAAAGCGCAGAATATTGATAAAACTCGAGCTGTGCGACAAGCAACGATTTTAAAAGAACTGAGTGCCTGTGAAAATATAGAGCGCTTGTGAGTATACGTATTATATTATTTCAAATATGTTATCTCAATTTAACATTTCAATTGTTTGCTCATTCGTTAGTCAAGGCTTGATGGAAAAAAATGAATTATATGTGGTGACTGAATGGGCCGCGAATTACGATCTCGAAAAGTATCTTCATCGTTCAGATATAGAGATTTTATGGGATCAAAAATTAAAGTTCGCAGAAGGTATCGCAGCTGCCCTCACATTTTGCCATGAAGCTGATATTTTTCATCATGATGTTAAAAGGTAATTTGAAAGATAATATCAACCAGATTAATAATGATCATATCGATATTAATATTTATATTATCATATTATTTAATATAGTGCGAATGTATTACTAGACGAAAATTTAAATGTGAAACTTAGCAATTTTGATATGGCACGCTTCTCTAACGATGCAACGACATCATTAACAGGTCAAATGAAGAGTATTAGGTGAAGCAATAATTTCAATGATACTTTGATTTAATTTTAAAAGCAGTAAATTGATCTTTAATTTTTCCAAAATAGATGGACTGCGCCCGAAAAATTAAAGAATCCCTGTGTTCCTTATTCCAAAGAAATGGATGTATATAGGTAAGAACAGTATTGTATGATATTTATTATTATTTTTCTAGTTTAACAATATTGCACTCTGAAGTTTTGCAATAGTAATGTGGGAAATTGCAACAAGAAAAGAGCCATTTTACGAAATCAACAGTGATATTGAAGTTTCCGAAAAGGTTAAAAATGACAAGCTTCGTCCATCACCAATCCCGAACGATATTATACCAGAATACGAAAATATAATGAAAAAAAGTTGGGTTGAATCTTTCCGTTCTCGTCCCACCATGTATCAGATATCTAGTGAATTCCATGGGTTTTGTAAGAGATATAAAGCTCAACGGAACAATTCACTGTTCTCATTGCAACGGTATGATTCTAACGCTTCACTGTCGAGGACACTTTCAGGAAGTATGTTATTAAATTTCACTTTAATATTGACTTGAATATTGGACGAATTAGTTATACTATTCTTTATTTAGAAAAATTTGATTTTAAAGCCCAAATCAATGACGATGAGCCTGTCAAACCACATACTCGGCCAGCGTGGAAAGATATCACTACAGCCCTTACTAGCAAGAACTACAAAGTGGCAATAGAAGGATTAGAACAATACGCTCAAAGTGACGCTAAAGAGGCAGATTTAGCTAAATATTATGCTGGCAAACTTCTATACGAAGGACATCATGGTGTGCCCAAAGATGAATTCCAAGCTTTGATTTATTTGCGTGATGCAGCAATCCGTTTACCAGCTAGCAGTTATAGTAAATTTACCCCCATGGCTCAATATTTATATGCGGATGTATGCCTAAAGGGTGAACTATATGATCGGGAAAATGGTATAAGGTATTTAGAGATGGCCGTAGATGCATCCGAGAAGAACGCATTATATTTGTATGGTACTATTCTGTGGAACGGTGAACATGGATTGCAGATTAATAATACTAAGGCTAAAGAAATGTTTAAACTATCAAAGAGTCGTGGCAATGAAAAAGCGGGTGACATGTTAAAACTGATTACACAAAATTAGACATACGTATAAATGTACATGTACAGTAAATGCTCGTTACAGTAACACTCTTTGAGATGACATCTCGTTATATTAACACAAAATCTCTTCCCCGATCTCATTACTGTAATAAGCTTTCATAGTATTTATTTTTTCGATAGATTAACATCTCGATATAATATCACCAAATCTCTTCCCCCGATCACGTTATTGTATCGAGCGCCCACTGTATTTATTTATTTATTTACGACCATCTGATTTTGCAGTTCATTTTAAATCACGTGATATTTGTAAATACAAACATTAACATATTTTATTTACTATTTCTAATTTTTCATTTGATGTATCTAAAACATTTTTTAAGATACGACTCTTATTTTCCAAAGATTATAATATACAGTTCACATAATTTTATTAAAATGGTTAATGAAACTAAATTTATTATGAACTTTTTAATCGAGATAAATTCATCACGTAATTCTTTCACTTGATCTAAACTTTAATTATACAATTGGAAATTCCTTCACAATAGAACAAATCCGGCTTAACAAAATTCTGGATTAACGAGTCACTGTATATAGTAAGTTTTGAAATTAGAGAGCAAGTACAAAATACCTTCAATGAAAGAAAGTTTTGATCTTGTATCTTTTATACCTAATACATGTATGTAATAAACATTACAAAATGTATACTATGGAAAATCTGATACTATCGAGTAAAAATAAAAACCGATTAGTTGATTTGTGTTGCATCTTTATTTATATAAACAAAGATAGTTTCGTTAGAATGTCTAGTGTGTACAACGTTCGTTCCAATATTGTAGATTTCAAGATTTAACGTTATTACTTTTTTTCTTTAATAGATGGGCGAAGAACATCGATTAAATAAATAAGTTTCGCATAGAAAAATTTAATACATGTAACTACATTTTTTTCTTTTCGAATAATAATTATCATCGAATCCAGTAATTAACTTTTCTTTATTTATTATACACTTTAAAGTTTTCAACATGGATTCGGAGGGTACTTCTAGGGAGGTTACTTCTAGGGAGGTTACTAGGGATATTGTTAGCTTACCTAACAACCCGTCAAATATCGGGGAAATAGCCAATGTAGCTCTTAAAACTACTGTCGCTATTGGTGAAATGCTGCCGTTTGCAGCAGCCGCTTGTCAACTAGCAAGTCAAATTATAGACATGGTAGAATCAGCTCAACGTCATAAAAAAATCTGTAAAGACTTATCGAGAAGAATTGACAAAGCGACAAAAAGAATACAAGCAAATACACCAACAAAAGATGTAAGCCTTGCGATCCAAGTTTCATATCTCCTACAAAGCCCATGCAATGCATGAGATATCGAATTTATGCTGGGACGTCGACGAAAAGATTGAACCCAACCCCATTTCATTATCTCTTCGTATTCTGGTACAATATCATTCGGGATTGGTGATGGACGCTCGCCATTTTTAATCTTCTCGGGAACATCAATATTATTGGTGATTTGGTAAAATGGTTCTTTTCTTGCTGCAATTTCCCACATTACTATCGCAAAACTTTAGAGAGCAAACTCGTTAATCTTTTATAATTTATTATCATCGCTGTACTTAGCTTAAGCCATTATTATTCTTACCTATATACATCCATTTGTTTGGAATAGGGAACATAGGTTATATTTAATTTTTCGGGCGCAGTCCATCTATTTTAGAAAAATTAAAGATCAATTTTTAATGCTTTTAAAATTAAAGTATCATTGAAATGATTGCTTTACCTAATACTCTTCATTTGATCCGATAGTGATGTCGTTGCTTCGTTAGAGAAGCGTGCCATATCAAAATTGCTAAGCTTCACATTCAAATGTTCATCTAATAATACATTCGCACTGTATTTAAATGATATGATAATATAAATATCAATATGATCATTACATAATTTTTGATATATTTTCAAATAGAGCTTTGCCATTAAATCTGACCTCATCAACAGATTACCCAAAGTTCAGGATAACGAATAATCCGAATAAATAATCTAGAATTATTCGATTTACCCTAGAGTGGTATTTTCGCAGTAATTATCTGCAGATACCCTATTTTTAACATGGGTAAAAGAAAAATTACCGTTGAGGAAGGATAATACTCGCAGTGCGTTGTGGTGATTGCACTGATGAGGATAAACCGGATTATTCTTTTGGCAAAACATTTATCCATTACCATATTAGTCGAATAACTAACGGATAATCCTAGGATATTACCCGTAGAGGGAAACCTCTACTTTCAAATTACCTTTTAACATCATGATGAAAAATATCAGCTTCATGGCAAAATGTGAGGGCAGCTGCGATACCTTCTGCAAACTTTAATTTTTGTGCCCATGAAATCTCTACGTCGGAACGAAGATGTCTTTCGAGATCGTAATTCGCGGCCCATTCAGTCACCACATATACTTCTTCATTTTTTCTCATCAAACCTTGACTAACGAATGAGCAAATAATTCAAAGGTTAAATTGGAATTACTTATTTGAAATAATATAACATATATACTCACAAGTTCTCTATATTTCTGCAGACACTCAGTTTATTTAAAATCGTTGCTTGTCGCTCAGCTTGAGTTTTGTCACTAGCCTGCACTTTACGAACAGCTACTGCGACACACCCGTTAAACAACATTTTTTTAATTTTTTTAGTTTTCCCTCGGATTTCCGTATCATCGTATTCTTCAACTTTTGACGGATCAACATATATGCTATCTTCTCTGATATCAGCGCCTTTTGTTACCATTGCTAGTTGAGCATAATCCAACAAGTAGTTAACTTTTTTGTGTATAGCACAAACATAATCTAACTGAAGGTCTTGAATTGCTGCATCTAATCGTTGAACCAGATCAGCATGGTATTCTAACATCTATAAATTATTAATTAGCATTTATACATGCAAAATACTAATATTGTATATATATGCTATCAAACTTACATCTTTCGATCCTATAAAGTCTTTAATTCTTCTTAAAGTTTTCTGACTAAAAGTCCCTGGCTTAATTAAATCTCTAATATACTTAGCAGCCTCTTCTAAAATCTGTTTATAGTTTTGATATGAAACTTGGATCGCAAGGCTTAC